GATATTAATATGCCTATATGGTTTAATAATTCTGAAAACCCGAAATCTAACGCAGAATTAGAAGAGTTGCCATTCAGCAACACCGTGGATACGCAAAAATTGAATATATCGGCGTATTTAGACTCAAAACTGAGCTCAGGATTATCAGTTTTTCAATTATGTTCCTTGGATGCTACAGCATATAAAACCACGATGCTTCTGGGACGCACAATTCATTAGACGTGATCTCAAAAAGACTGATACTGTGACATAAAAAAAAATAAACAACAGGAAATTACTTAAAAAATACAATATATATATATATATATATATATATATATATATATATATATATATATATATATATATATATATATATATATATATATATTGTATTCGAAGTGTTCGAAGTGTTTTCGGAGCGCGAGCATTGAAGACGCCAAGTGAGATTTTGGCGAAACGTCTGCAGGATGCAGGATTCCAGTCGGAGTTCAACGAGCGAATCATCCGTTCGCGGAATATAGTGTCATCATATATATATATATATATATATATATATATATATATATATATATATATATATATATATATATATATATATATATATATATATATATATATATATATATATATATATATATATATATATATATATATATATACAGGGTTTTTCACTTAAAACTCCGCACGCCAATAAGTCCAAAACGAAAAGAAATATTTAATTTATGTAAAAAGTAGTCAAAGTGTGGGGTCAAGTAGATATTTCCTAAAGTTTAAAAAATTCGACGCCTGCAAAGAGCTGGGCGTCGCGACTCGTCGAAAAATTATTCGATTGCAGAGACTTTGGAAATACGCGCATACAAAAGTACATATTATTTAAAACTTTTTTGTTATTTACTCAAACTTATTTACTTTACCCGTTTCTAAGTTATACCGATTTAAAGTAAATATTTCTTGATTAATAAAAAATGTGATTAACGCTTATTTTTACAAGTATGCCATGAATGTTAGTTACTATGGCAACCATTGTTATCGCAGTTGTTTTAAGTGCAATTACAAACAATAGATTTCAACTATTTTAGTATGATTTTATTTATTATTTTTTATCGATTTAGTTCTGATAACATGATAAATAAATGAAAAAACAGTAAAATACCTACGAGTTAATAACCAAAATTATTATTGCAATTAACTACATAATAAGACATTTCAAAAATTTTGTTCAAAATTATGTCCATCTGCTCGAACACAACTATCAAAAACTTTTAACAGATGAGCTTGGGTCACTTGTAAGAGAGTCCTTCTTGTGATAGCGGCACACGCTGCACTAATTTTGTTAATGAGATCAGCCATATCTTAGATAGGTTCTTCATAGATAACGTTTTTTAGGTAGCCCCAAAGAAAATAATCTGGTGGTGTAATGTCCGGGGACCTCGCCGGCCACCTTACCTGTCCATTAGTACCAAACCACCTATTGGGATATTCTCGGTTCAAATACCTCGTTACTATTTGGGCATTATGTGCAGGCGCTCCATCCTGCTGTAGCCACATATTCATTCTAGTGTCAAGAGGCACTTCTTCTAATAGTTCCGGAAGTGTAGTTTGAAGAAATCTTAAATAGCGATCTGCATTTAAAGTTCCTTCGTAAAAGTAAGGTCCAATAAGGAATCCACTTAATATGCGGCACCAAACATTGATACTAAAAATTCGTTGGTTACCTCTTTCTGTAATCCAACGAGGATGGTTTTCGAACCAAAAACGACAGTTGTGTCTATTAACGATTCCATTATTTTGAAATCGACTTTCGTCGCTCCATAAAATTTTCGAGAGAAAATTTGCATCTTGGCTATATAAATCGGACAATGTCGCTAAGAAATACATTCTTCTAGCATAATCGCCTGGTTCTAGTTTATGAACTAGTTTACTTTTGTACGGGTGAAAAGAGTTTCTATGTAGAATTCTCCACGAAGAAATTATGGTAACACAGGTATTTTCTTTTATCTCTGATAGGGATATCTTGGGGTTATTATCAACCTGCTGAATTACAGCAGCAGTATTTTCATCATTTGTAGCCGCCCTGTTCCTATCTCTTTTAGGTTTCATGAAGCTGCCATATTCTCTTATGTTTTTACATAGACTTGAAAAGGTTTTTGCATCGGGGACTCTTCTATGCGGATAACGCCGTGCGTAAACTCTTTTTGCTTCTCTACAATTGCATCTGCATTCTCCAAACACCAGTAACATGTCTACTTTTTCCTCATTGCTAAATTGCACCATTTTCACATAATAATTCTTAGTTTTTTTTTAAACGAACAAATTTGGATATTTCTTGTGACAAAATGTGACAATTTTTTGATACAGCAATAACAACTTACGTTTGTAATTGCACTTAAAACAACTGCGATAACAATGGTTGCCATAGTAACTAATGTTGATGGCATACTTGTAAAAATAAGCGTTAATCACATTTTTTTTAATCAAGAAATGTTTACTTTAAATCGGTATAACTTAGAAACGGGTAAAGTAAATAAGTTTGAGTAAATAACAAAAAAGTTTTTAAATAATATGTACTTTTGTATGTGCGTATTTCCAAAGTCTCTGCAATCGAATAATTTTTCGATGCGTCGCGACGCCCAGCTCTTTGCAGGCGTCGAATATTTTAAACTTTGGGAAATATCTACTTGACCCCACACTTTGACTACTTTTTACATAAATTAAATATTTCTTTTCGTTTTGGACTTATTGGCGTGCGGAGTTTTAAGTGAAAAACCCTGTATATATATATATATATATATATATATATATATATATATATATATATATATATATATATATATATATATATATATATATATATATATATATATATATATATATATATATATATCCTCACGTATTGATTCACGGATGGAAAAATGTGATGACACTATATTCCGGGATATCATCCGTTCGCTCGTTGAACTCCGGCTGGAATCCTGCATCCGACTGGAATCCTGCAAATCTTGCATCCGACTGGAATCCTGCAGACGTTTCGCCAAAATCTCACTTGGCATCTTCAATGCTCGCGCTCCGAAAACACTTCGAATACTGTACAGTATATATATACATATATATATTATATATATATATATATATATATATATATATATATATATATATATATATATATATATATATATATATATATATATATATATATATATATATATATCTATATATATATATATATATATATATATACTATATATATATATATATATATACTATATATATATTATATCATATGTATATATCGTAT